CATCCCGGTAGTGCTTTATGTTACCCATAGCAAAATCAAGACAGAAGCTCCTACATATGAAAATCGCACTGAGTATTTTGAGATGAACAACACAGCCACAATTACACTGAAGCAACTGAAGAAAAATGACAGCAATGTATATATGTGTGTGGCAAACTTGACCACAGACTCTGGGTTTAAGCAGAAGAATAGCACAGTGAATATTTTTTTGGCAATAAAAGGTAAGGGTGGACACAAAAGGTCATATGGTTAGCAGCTTGATTTTTCAATTATAAATCATGGACCATTTTTCCCAATTTGGTACTATCTAGACATCTTGAACTCCATTTAATCATGTTGTATTAAAAGTCTGAGGAATGTAAATATGGAGAGTTTGGATACAAATTAAGGTGATATCTTTTTTTTAAAAAAGTAATAAACCTAATGTCACTAGAGTTGGGGAAAGTGGCAACTTGTTCCCTTTCCCTTCTAGACTTCAGCATCTTCATATTTTGTTCTAGACTAATACAAAATGTGTTTATTCGAGTCAAGTGCCTACAAAATGAAATATAGTAGAGCATATAAAATACATTATTCTGAGATAGATGAGAAACAAATAATATACCCTGAGCAAACATGTAAATAAAATATACATATGGTATATATTTGTATATACGGTAAAAATACATATTTGAGAAAGTAGATAAATGAGAAACTTGACAATGGAATGGATTGAATTTTAAACTGGAAAAATCTAGACTCTTAAATAATTGAACTTATAGACCAGAAGATTCAACTCAGGCCTTGATTCGGTTATTCAGATAACTGCTTAATTTACCTCTTTTTTGTTTGGAAACTTTCTAATTCAGCTTGAAGCCTACACTGCAATCTTAATTTAGAAATTGATCATCTTTGAAAGTCAACATATTGATTGATTGATTTGTTTATTTATAAAGTTGATACATTGCTTTAGTCTAATTTGACTTAAGGAGTTTACAGAATATATAAGGAAATCACTCTGCATAAACACACACACATACCAGAGGTGGGTTGCTCCCGGTTCAGCCAAACCGGTAGTGGTCATTCGGCCTGGATCACAGAACCGGCAGTGACCCAGTCTGGCCATGCCCACAAACTGGTTCACGATTCTCTTCTGCCATTGCTGGCATGTTTCTGTGCATGCACAGAA